ACCCCCGCGGTGTCCCCTGGGGGGCAGCACACGCCGCGCGGAGCCCGGGCCGGGCAGGTGAGCGCGGAGCGGCCCCGGGAGCGGCCCCGGGAGCGCCCGGCGCGGGGAGCGCCCCGAGCCTGGAAAGCCTCGGATGCTGCTCCCAAAGCCCGATAAAGGCTGCTGAAGCAAAACCAGCGTCTCCCACCCGTGGCTGTCGAGGCGAACCGGGCAAACACCGCCCGCGGAGCCCCGCGGACGGGAACCCACCGTGCCCGGGGCAGGGGGGCAGCGCGTTTCCAAGCGCCTCCCGCTCTCTTCCTTGAAGGGGCTCCTATCCCTGCTCTCTCTAGCTTGTTTTTCATAATGCCGATTTTTTTTTTCCTTCGAGCCATTCGAATTTCGGGCTTTTCCGAGCCCGTTGGTTCTGTCTCTGCTCTGTCCCGAGCTGCAGCAAGCAAAGACCTTTTGCTGCTTCTAGGAGTTCTGTAGAAATTCATCTCGGTAAAGTTTTCAGCCGAGGAAAGGTGAGATTCAATCAAGGTTGTTTCTCGAGCGCGTTCCAGGCTTCTAGGAAGGGACTCCACAGGGTCGCCGCAGGGGTAGCTTTACTCAGACTTCGCATTTAAAAATTCCTGCATTTTAAAAAGTTATATCGTTAAAGGAATCCCATGTGCTTGTGTACGCTGAGACACAGCCTTAGTTTTTACGAGAAATACGATTTATTTGAAAACCGAACATAGAAGTGTGAAGTCGTTCTCAAATTATTCCAGAAAAGAAAAAAAAAAGTTTTCTCTTATGGTCGTACATTTATATGAAAAGTAGCCGCAGAGCTCGCTGAATTCACTATTTGTTTTCATAAAAAAAAAAAAAAATAAAAATCCCCCGAACGTTTTCTGGGTGGATGAAATCTCCCAGAACATTTAAAATTATTTCCATCAAAATTAAATAACAATTTTGAAGAGCCCGGCGAAACTTTCCAATCAATTTTTCCATCGCAGATCACTTTTAACCATACCTCCTTGTAGAGGAGCTGCCTCGTAATTTTAATATTTTTTCTCCCCCCAGTTCTCGCATAAAATCGTTTCCTTTCTTATTAAGAAAATCGCCTGTAATTAACAGCACCACCGAGTTCCCACGGCCGGAGCCGGCTGCGGTCTCGTCCCCACCACCCCGGCTGGGAGCGGGAAAGGGACCCTTCGTCCCAGCAGCCAGCAAAAATCCCAGCCTGACTTTGGGGGAGAAAAATATCTTTGTTTAAAGCCTTAGGAAACCACACAAATTGCAAGGAGGGAAAGGCAGAATTACAGTGTAAGAAACCAAAAAATCACCGCTTAGGAATCAGAGCGGGAACAGCCGAACTCAAGGGAGGCAGCGGGAAGGAGCCCAGCCGAAGTGACAGCTAATTAATTTCAACCTTATCTTGGTCTTTTCGGGCTCGAATCGATTTTGCAGCGCTATTTTTATATATATATATATATATATATAATTTTTTTTTTCGCGAAGCGGGGAAATCGCTGGTTTCCCACCTTCATTCCTTCGCTGGGCAGATCCACGCTTCTCCCGGGTGGAACAGAACATCTCGCAGCCGTTTCCCCCAGTACTTGAGTCTACACTTGGTCACCAAGCGTCCCTAATTGTCCCATCTGATTGCCTCTAATGGACTCATTAGAGAAGGCAGGGGGGCGGATTTCACAGGCACAAGAAAATCCGCCTCAAAGCCCGGAACGGAAAAAAATCCGCTTAAATTCGCTCACTATTTTTTTGTTTTGATTTTTTTTTTAAATAATAATAAAATACCCCAAACTCCCCTAACGCGACAGAGGGAACCTCTCAGCCCGCGGGCGACCGGGGCCGAACGTGTGCGCGATGCCCTCGCCACCGGGCGAGCACCGCGGAGAGGGACTCGGCGGCCTTTCCCGAGGAACCGCGGGGCCGTTCACTTAAATACACTTTAAAAGTGAGACAAACGACCTGCCCGAGTGCTGGGACACCGTTATACCGGCATCGCGACTCCCGCCGCCCTCGCCATCAACCTGCGTCCGAAAAGTGCTTAAAAACGTGGTGTTTTGCGCGAGCGGGCAGAGCCCGCGGCCGGGGCTCCTTTGAGGGCGAGAGCGTTAAGCTCTCCGCGGTCGGGGGGGTGGGGATGTCCGTGCCGGTGCCCGTGCCCGTGTCCATGCCCATCCCGGGGGTCGGCGCGGCCCCGGGCGCGGCGCGGCGGGAACGCGCGCGGGGGGGATGCTGCCGGCGCCGCCGCATCCCGCGCTCCCATTGGCTGCGGCGGCGGCGGCGCGCACCGCCATTGGCCGGCGGCGGCGGGCGGGGGCGGGGCCAGCGGGCAGTAAAAGCGCGGCGGCGGAGCGGGGCGAGTTTTGAAGCTGCGCAGCGCGGCCGGGACGGAGCTCGGCCGCTCCCGCACCCCCCGCACCCCTCCGGGGGCTCCGGAGCGCCTCGGGCCGCTGTTGTGACAAGAACTGGGCTTTCCGCAAGGCTTCTTCTTCTTTTTCTTTTTTTTTTTTTTTTAATATTTTTAATTATTTTTTTTTCGTTTTGTTTTTCGGGTTTTTTTTAATTCCCTTTTCTTGCGAGAACAGGGCCCCCCTCCCCCGCCCAGCTCCCCGCAGCAGTGCCCGCCGCCGCCGCGGGCCGTAGCCGTGTGTACAAGAATCACAGTCATACAGAGGGAGGGAGAGGCCGCCAGAGACCACCCTGCCCCCGGCAACCCGGAGGATGCCGCTGCGGTGCCGCTGCTAGAGGACACGCTGGGATTTAGCTCGGCTCCGGGACTCTCTCTCTCTCTCCCGCTCTCTCCCTCTCTCCCTTCTCCGCAGAGGGGTCCCGGACGGGGGTGAGGCCCTTCCACCCTCTTCCTCTTCCTCCTCGCCTCCCCGGCCGCGGGAAGCCCCTCTCCATGATGCAGGCTCGCTACTCCGTCTCGGACCCCAACGCTTTGGGAGTGGTGCCGTATTTAAGCGAGCAGAACTACTACCGGGCGGCGGGGACGTACGGCGGCATGGGCAACCCCATGAGCGTCTACTCGGGCCACGCCGAGCAGTACGCGGCGGGCATGGGGCGCTCCTACGGCCCCTACCACCCCCACCAACCCACCGCCCCCAAGGACCTGGTGAAGCCACCTTACAGCTACATCGCCCTCATCACCATGGCCATTCAGAACGCCCCCGACAAGAAGATCACGCTCAATGGGATTTACCAGTTCATCATGGACCGCTTCCCTTTCTACCGAGAGAACAAGCAGGGCTGGCAGAACAGCATCCGCCACAACCTCTCCCTCAACGAGTGCTTCGTCAAGGTGCCTCGCGACGACAAGAAGCCGGGCAAGGGCAGCTACTGGACCCTGGACCCCGACTCCTACAACATGTTCGAGAACGGCAGCTTCCTGCGCCGCCGGAGACGCTTCAAGAAGAAGGATGTCTCCAAGGAGAAAGAGGAGGCCCGGGAACGGCTGCTGAAGGAGCAGCCCAAGCCCCCCGGGCTGCCCGGCGCCGACCTTCCCAAGGAAGCCTCCTCCTCCTCTTCCTCTTCCTCCGCCTCGGCGCCGGCCTCCGAGAAGAAGGTGGTGATCAAGAGCGAGACGGCGTCCCCCGAGCTGCCGGTGATCACCAAGGTGGAGACGCTGAGCCCGGCCAGCGGCGGGGCCCTGCGGGACAGCCCCCGCAGCGCCGCCTCGCCCCCCGCCGCCGCCTCCCCCGAGACCTCGCTGCCCGAGCATCACCCCGCGGGCAACGGGCTGCCGGGCTTCAGCGTGGAGAGCATCATGACCCTGCGGACTTCCCCCGCGGGGGACCTCAGCCCGGTGAGTGCCGCCTCTGGCAGGACGGGCGCCGGGATGCCGCTGGGCTACCCCGCGGGGCAGCCGTCGGGCTACAGCGCGGCGTGTAGCCAGGCCCTGGACACTAGTGGGAGCTACCACTGCAGCATGCGGGCCATGAGCCTCTACAGCGGCGAGAGGCCGGGCCACATGTGCGCGCCGCTGGAGGAGGGTCTGGCCGAGCATCCCACCGGCGCCCCGTCGCCCCTCGGCACCCTGAGCCTGCCGTCGGGGCAGGACGGCGCGCTGGGCACCGGGCACCCGCACGGCGGCGGCGGCGGAGGGGCGGCGGGGGGGCAGCCCCCCGCCTCCTGGTACCTCAACCACGGGGCTGAGCTGAGCCACCTGCCCGGGCACACTTTTGGCTCTCAGCAACAGACTTTTCCCAACGTGCGGGAAATGTTCACGTCGCACCGGCTGGGGATGGAGAGCGCCTCGCTCAGCGACCACCAGGTGAGCAGCAACTCCGCCTGTCAGATCCCCTACAGATCCGCGCCCTCCCTATACCGCCACGCCGCCCCCTACTCCTACGACTGCACTAAGTACTGAGTAGCCGCGACCCCCCGCCTAGGGCCATCTGGAAAAAAAAAAGGTTTTAAAAAATTATTATTAATAATAATTATTAAAAAAAAAAAAAGATCGGGAGAAATGAAACCACACCAAACGCAGGAAAAAAAACACAAACCAAAACAAAACCAGAAACAACCTGACAGTTTCCCCGCCAACCTGGGAGTCACAGAGTTTGTAGATCCCAAAAAGCCCCGTTTCGGGCCTCCTTAGATTCCAGGCAAGTAAATCTGTACTTGAAAAAACGGGGATCTCTCCTAAAAAAAAAAAAAAAAAAAAAAAAAGTGGCAAAAAAAAAGAATCATTTTATATATATATATGTCTATCTAAAAGTGGCAAATTTTATATGCTAAAGTATAGGGGGTCTCAGAAAAATAAGTTATGGACCAATATCACAACGACCATTTATAAGTTTTGAAAGGAAAAAAAGTATATAAATATATATATAAATATATGTCCTGGGTATTTTTTAAGTTCTCTGTTGTGCTGTAAAAAATGTGTGGATTTCTAATCAGGCTGATTTTCAGAGCCATTAATATAATATTTAAAGTTGAGTTCACTGGATTATTTTTGTCTCGCCCAACGATTCTTAACTTCCAAATTAATGACAAGTGATTTCTTCTTTTTCTGTGTACAATTATGCAATAGAGTTTCTTTCGTTTTAGAGCTGTTCTTCTCGCAAGATGAGGAAATAATTTATTTTTTGCTGGTGGATTTTTTTTTTAAAGGAAAAATAGAAAAAGTATCTGATACTTTTTTATTATTATTTACGACGTGTGATGTTTTGTATAATAGATTTCACCTTGACCATTCTTAGGGACTATTTGCTTTAACCTGCTTCAAAATTCGTTTGTCTTATGTGGTCCTAATTGTTGTACTTACCTTAAAATAAATCCATGCTGGTTTTTTCTGCTCCAAGTCTGGCGCTTCTCTGTGTATATACTGGGTTTTTGCAGGTTTTTTTTTTCTTTCTCCCTTCACCTTTCCTTCATGCAGAAAACGTGGCACTGGTTGTTTTTAAAACAAAGTCCTTTTCCTGGAGCCCAAAGGTTTCTGATGATTATTTCTTAGATGAAAGGTTTAATTCACGTGGAGAGATGGAAACTGTACAACTGTGGTGGAGGGGAAAGAATAAGGCACTGCGCTGGCAGCGGCTCTGAGCACCCTCAATCCGGAATCCCTGTCAGCTCGAAATTTAGGGAGTTTTCCCAGGCCTGCGATGGGTAGAACAGGGAAAACGGGAGTAGGGAAGGGGATTTGTGCTCCCCTCGCCCCGTCTCTGCGAGCGCGGGCCTTGCACAGTGCTCGGCATGTCTCTGAGCCTGGGGCCTGATCTTTCCACGACAGAAAACAAAACAAAAAAATCCATTTTATTTATGTATTTATTTTTCTTTAAAGGAAGCCTGTGAGCCTGGGAGTGGGTGCGGGTGATGAGAGTGATCATTTGAGCCCGGACTCATTGTGGAGACTTCAAAAAAGCAAAGTGGAAAGTTCACTTGATAATCATTTAAAACCAATTAGTTTTTAAATTTAAAAACAGTACAGTTTTTAAATGCTCTCCTGTACTAAGAATTAGCTGATTTTAACCTTCTCTTTATCTCTTTAAGCTCTAGTTCGAAATGCTGGGCGTGCCTTTGCCCCAAACCATCCTTTAACCTGTTCCAGGAGCTTTAACCCAGGGCAGAAGCGTGGGGTTTAGCAAGGCTGAAAGCACGGGAATGCCGGCAAAGCCTGAAGCAGAGTTTAGGAGGGTCTTTGGGACTTTTCAAGCCCAGCTCACTGGAGCCATGTCCTTTTCCGGCTGCAAAATCTCAGCCAAACAGTGTTTCCAGGGGATATTTCCAAGCCGTGCTCCTGTCCCACCTTCTGTAGCCCCCCCAGTATCCCTCGTAGCCCTTTTTCTGAGTTCGGGAGTGATTATACCCGTGTCAGGCTGCTAAAATCGATGAAATAAATTGGTTTTGACCGATTAAATTTCGCATGCGCTTAAAAGCTGGCAAACAGCACTGAAACTCGATTTAAATGAGAAAAAAATGTCCGAGCCTCGCTTGATCTGTATTTTAAGGAACATTCTTGTAAAAAAACTCCTGCCGTTTTTCCTGGCTCTCAGAGGGTGGTTTTTATTTTTATTTTTGTTCTCTTTATTTTTTAAAAATGAAATAAAATCCAAAGTGCTATTTTAAAAAAGAGAAAATACATAATGTAAAGGGTAAAAAAAAAAGTTACAAGGGAAATAATTAGAGTAAAACGATGGCTAGAAAATAAACAGGGTAAAAGGGGGGAAAAAAAACGAATTGGGAAAGAATTCTCTCCCGGCTCAGGCCTGCTTCCCCCAAGGTTTTCCTCCGCACGGGAACGCCGTGAGGGAGATGGCTGAAGTCAGGTGGCTGCTGTGGGTTTTCCCACACGCGTTCAGAAATCCCGGGGCCTCCGATGCTCCCACAACTTCCCACGCCGGCCAAGGGCTCTGGGCACACGGGGACCTTTTCCTCGCCGGGCGGGCAGGTCTGGGATGCCGAGGAATGCGGTGCTGGGGGTCGGGGAACCCCTCCCTGTGGCTCTGCAAGCTCCCCCCGCGCTGCTGCTGGACAGTTCCTGGGGGGTCTCAGCTTGAGCCGGGTTTAGGGGGCTCATCTCGCCCCACCGCTCCTTGTTGGTGTTTTCTTTCCCGCCTTGTCCCGGTGGGACCTTCCCCCTCTGTCTCCCTCCTTCCCGCCCCGCTGGAGGTGTTCTTCCGGGCCTGGGGGCTCAGAGCATCGTCCCTTTGCTCTGTCCCGTCCTGAGGTGGGGGGTTGGACCCCACCTATCCCTCTCCCTCGACCCCCAGTCGCTCCCATCATCCCACTGGGAGCCCTTTTGGGTGGGCTGGTGTCGCAGGAGAAGCGAGAGCTAAGTGCGGGATGCAGGCATGTATTTGTGACTCTCTTTAAAAGCTGAGATATGGAGGTCAACAAGGCGATAGGCGCCTGTCGCGACAGGTGATTTCAGCCCGGCTGGAGCAGAGGGGGAGGAAGGAAGAAAGGGAGGAAGGAGGAAGGCCCGGGGTAGCTGAAGCAGCAGCCGCGGCCGGGTCGGGCTCTGCGGTCCCTGGAAGCCGAAGGACCGGTATAACCCCCCGCCCCCGTAACCCTCTCCTCGCAGATCAGGGGGGCCAAGCTCGCCATGGGGGGGACGAGCTGATGCTGCTGCGTGGCCGGTGGCTCCGGGAAGAGGATGGTGGATGGGTTTTCATATATGTATGATTTTTTTTCTTGTGCTACCTTTCACCTCCACGTTTGCAAACCTGTCCGAAAGCCCAGACAGCTCCGGGTTTTGGGAGAAGGGCCAGCGGTTTTCTATCTCGTCCCCGCCGGGAAGGTCCCCATAACTCAGTCAAAAGAGCGTTTCCCTGGTGCTGCAGGACCCAGGTAAAACACAGTCCCCTTAGATAGCCCCTCAGGCCTCTGCACGACCCAGGCACGAGCTGTCTGGCCCCTTCCAATCAACCCCATCTTCCTCAGAGTTCATAGGAAGGCACCGGGCAAGAGGTTTTTGGGGAAGGCCGCGAGCTCTTCTGGCGTTTTGGAGAGGAGAAGGAATTATATCCCTGAGCCCGGGGCAATACCGAGCGACCTCGCAACTGTACAGGGCCGTGTACGGCGAGGCGGCGAGGGGTGGGCAATTCCCGCCGGGAGATCATTCCTAAGGGAGCCCAGGACGGGATGCAGCAGGAGTGGAGAGCACTGGTTTGTGTCCTGTTCCCCCTTTCCTGGCATGCAGCAAGAATAGGAAGAACTGATTTACACCCCTTCTCCTCGCCATCCCGGGATGCAGCAGGAATGGGGAGCTCTGATTTACACCCCTGCTCTCCCCATCCCAGGATGCAACAGGAGTGGGGAGCACTGATTTACACCTTCACTTCCACCAGTCCGGGATGCAACAGGAATAGGGAGCTCTGACTTACACTCCTTCTCCCCCCTCATTCCGGGATATAGCAGGAGTGGGGAGCACTGATTTGCGCCCTGCTCCCCCCGAGGGCCCCGGGCGGGACCTCTCCTCGCTGCTGATGTAGAAGGGACTTGTCTACTGGAGAGGAGGGAAAACCCATCCAGGAGCGCCTCCATCGCCGGCTCCGTTTTTTTTTTTTTTTTTTTTTTTTTTCCCCATTTAGGGAAAGCGCCACGGCCAAACAACACCATCAACAAGAATCCCTCTCTCCCACTTCCCCGGTCCCCCCGCAGCCATCGGAGACGCTCGGAGGGCTGATTCAGGGTGGATAACGCAGCGAGCTCCGGGGATGCCGCCGGCAAGAGAGGGATAACAGCGATAACAGGCAGCACACGAGTTGGGAAGAAGGAACGAAGAGAAAAACCGCATCCCCGCCTCCAAGGATTTCCCACCGCGAAGAGGGGAAAACAAGGAAGAATTTTGCAGGGGGAGGGATCTCAGGGAGAGAGCGGGAGCCCGTGTGTCTGTCTCCTGCCGTACATGCGAGTATTTATTGTTTTACTAATCCGCGCTTGGAGTGTCCCAAGTAGCGGGGGATTCCCCGAACTGGGGAGAGGAAGGGGCTTTAGGGGGGAAGACCCTCGTCCGGCTGCCCTAAGGATGCTCCGGGCGGGTTAGAGCAGCCGGGCTCCGTTCCATCCTCCCCGGCGAGGATGCTACCTGTCCGGGGAGGCTGCCAGGGAGGGCTGGTCCTCAGTGAGGAGACGAGAGGAGTCTCCCCCACCTCCAACCCTTTCTTTTATCTCCCCTTTTTTATTTATTTGGAGGTTTATTGCATTTATGGCACGGCGGATGGGTCCTTCAGCTCCCGGGGGCCGGTGGGTGTGCGCACCACGGGGGAGGGATGCAGAGTTACCGCCAAGGGCGGTGTCAGAGAGGTGATTTTCCCTCCCTCGCGTGGGGCCAGCCAGTGAGAGGAGAGACCCCCTCATCCCCCTCGCTCCAGAAGCCGCCTCCCCTCGCACTCTGGCTGTGTTTCCCAGGCTCTCATGGCAGTTTGCAGCTCTCAGGACGCATCTGCAGCTCCACAGAATCGCGCTGGCTTTTACCCGGGGGATGAAACTCCTTCGTCCAGGAGGACGGGAGCAGAAGTGGACGAAAAACCTCACGGGCGAGGGGTAGTTTGCAGGGAAATCTGGGGGTGCGAAGGTCAAGGCATCGCCAGGGCCGGGTGATGCTGGGGGACAGCCAGGAGCCCGGCTTTTACCTCTTCTCATTCCAGGTAAAAGACCCACCAGGATCGTGGGAGCTTCACTGTCGGGATATTTCTCAGTGAAGGAGGAAGGGATCCCCCTCAGCCCTCCTTTTCGTTCCCCCGGAGAAATGATGCTCCACGGAGCAGAGTCTCCTGGGGTCTCACGCAGGTCCGAGCAGCGGGGGGACTGGGGAAAGAGCCGACACCTCCAACTGCATCGGAATCCCTCGGGGCCTCGGATTAAAGCTGTTACGTCAGTAAATTAAAAAAAAAAAAATCCAATAACAGAAAACACAGCCCCAAACCTGGACGTTTATACAGAAAAAGAGCATCACAAATTCCTAATGTAAGCACCGGCCAGCTGTGTGCACTTGTAAAGTTGTTATAATCCCCCTCCTTGTTATAAACAGGAAAGTACATAATATAAAGCAACAGGCCCGCATTCACAAATACTGACCCTCCTCCCCGCGCCTGCCAAATTCCCCTTTTTCTGCAGATTCCCCCAACGCAGCCCTGCCTGGTTGGGACCGGGGCTGGACGGGGAGTCCCCTCCGCCGTTCTCGGGGGTCCCCCGGGGATGAACAGCAGGGTCCCTGCATTGGGACGTGCAGGAGACCCCACCACACCTGAGCCCCTCTTTCCTCAGAACTCCAGTCAGCCCCTTTTCCTTCCTCCTCGTCGCAGCGCTGCCTCCTCCTCTCACCCATCCCGTTTTCTTCCTTTCTTTAATTTTTTTTTTTTTTTACAATTTTTATGTTGTTTAATGCCCCAGTTTTCCTGCGGGGATCCCTGCCCGCTCCTCCCCAGCTCCAGCAGTGTACATCCTGCTCTGCTGTGTGTGCTTACAGCGTCAAAGGGTGGACGTGATATTTCAAACATCAGATCACTGCGTTTATATATTGGGTGCCCGGAAATTTTTCCAAATAAACACAGCTTGATTCGACTTGGGTGGGCAGACTTATCAACAGACTAATTCTATAAACAAATGAAGGAATAACCCGGAGACCATTGGCTGGTACCAGCGAGACACGTGGAGAGAGCTTGGAGTTTTGTAGCAATGAAATTTTAATTAATGTGGGTGGGCTGAGAACACAAACGACTGTTTATCAGAGACAATTTATTTTCCAGTGCTAAGTCAACATATAATAGCAAACTTACAACAATTATTTAACTTTTTTTTTCCTCCCCCTTTTTTTTTTTTTTTTTTTTTTTAAGAGCTATGAAGCAGGGACAGAGGCAGAGCGAGCTCCTTCAGGCAGGGCTGGGAGCTGAGCTCGCACAAACAGCTCCCCGGTGGACTCGTCCCAGGTTCCTGCCCTGCCCCGTCCCTCCGCTCGGCTCCGAGGGGGAAGACGCGGAGCTGGGAACCCGCCGGCGATGAGCCACATCTACGGCAGCCACCTCTCCCCTCTGGGCAACCCCTCCATGGTTTATCTCCCGGCTGCCCTCGGCTTCACCCCCGGGGGGGCGATCTCCCGGCAGGACCCCCCGCAGAAGCCCCCGTACAGCTACATCGCCCTCATCGCCATGGCCATCAAAGAAGCCCCGGAGCAGAAGGTGACGCTCAGCGGCATCTACCAGTTCATCATGGACCGCTTCCCCTTCTACCACGACAACAAGCAGGGTTGGCAGAACAGCATCCGCCACAACCTCTCCCTCAACGACTGCTTCGTCAAGGTGCCGCGGGAGAAGGGGCGGCCCGGCAAGGGCAGCTACTGGACCCTGGACCCGCGGTGCCTGGACATGTTCGAGAACGGCAACTACCGCCGGAGGAAGAGGAAGCCCAAAGCCCCGGGGCCGCCGGAGGCGAAGGGTGGCGAGCAGCCGGGGCCGCCCGCCCGCCCCGTCGAGCCCAAGCGGTCCAAGGGGAGTGCGGCGGCCGCGGGGGACGCGGGGGACGCGGGGGTCCCGCGGCCGGGCCGGGGGGCAGCGGCTTCCCCGGGGGGTCCGGCCCCGGTCGCTCCCGCCGCCGCCCCGCCGCACAAGAGCGGCCCGCGGGGCCGCAGCTTCAGCATCGAGAGCATCCTGGCGCAGGGGCTGCGGCAGCCGCCCCCCGGGGCAGCCCCCAAGGCCGCCCGGGAGGGCCCCGCCGGCTGCCTCGGCGGCTCCCTGGTCGCCAGCGGCGGCTTCGGCCCGACCCTCAACGCCTCCCTCATGCTCGACTCCCAGGTGCACGGGAGGCTCTACCACATCGGCATCCCCTTCCTCTCCTGCTTCCCTCTCCACGTATCCGAGGCGGTATTTAATTTCCAGTAGTTGCCCCATAATTAAACCTCCCCCGGCCCCGGGCGCTGCTTGCGAGGCGCGATGGGGGTGAGAGGCTGGACTCAGACCTCGCTGCGCGGGTAGACCAAAAAAACCCCAAAGCGATGTAAAAGGTGACTCAGGATTTCAGGGCATTTTCAAGGCGCGTGTTGCTTCGGACTCTCTTTAGCCGTTGCCTCCCACCCCCTTGCCAGAGCGACTTCTGAAGGTAAACCAGCTTTCTTTTCCCATGGGTAGCGAAGGTGGAGACAGGCACTGGGGGGATTGCCCACACTGCCCCTAAGCTCTGTTGGGTTTGCTCTGCACCTTTAGTCTTTGCATCCCTCAGGTTCCTCAGACCTGGTTTCTTTCGAGCCCTTCAGGTCTCTGGTTTTCTTCTTTTATTTTCCTTTTGGAAACCCAACCCACTCTGCCCATCCGTGGGGGAGGGGGCTGAGCTTTGTTTTGCCGTTAATACCCACAGATATTAATAATTCCTGATACTCTCCATTGGCCCAGTCCCCCCAGTGGGTAAAGGCAAGTAACTGGAGATGAAATAAGGGCAGACCAAGCAATCCAGGCTCATCCTGCACATTCCTGCTTGCTTAGACTCAGCACTGTGTGTAACTGGTTTCCTGCCCAGCACTCGTGCTTCTCGAGTATCTCAAAAGAGTTTCTGCTCACTGATGAGAGGGGGATGGATGAGCAAACACAAGGATGCATCCCCTTTCCATATCTTGCTGGGATCAGTTGCTTCTGATCACAAAAAGACTGAAGCAGGGTTGTGAAGGCCACTCTTGGCATTTTGAAATATGTCTTTTAACAACCAGGACAACTACCAGGAAAAAAAAAAAGACATCAGCTATGTATCTAAGATTTTATTTTTTCTTAAAGAAGGAAGAATCCAGACTGCAAGAAATCAGGAATATTTCTTATTTTTGTTTGCCATAAATAGAGGCTTTTTGTATATTAGTGGATAAATGCCCTTTTGGAAAAAAAAAGAATCTATATTCTCAATTTTCATTATGAAACTAAACCTATATCCAATAAAAGTATTTTGTTCAGGAGTGTGGCTGGTGTGATGTAAAACACCCTGGAGGATCAAGGAGTGGGGTCTGCTGCTGGATGCAGTGAATATCCTGGTGAGGACATGATGGACCTCATAAAAGATGGGAGAGACAAAAACAGAGTCCTGGGAAATTACCTGTTCCTTGAAACTGAGGTAATGTTTCCCAAAATGATTGTTTTTCCTTCTCTTCCCTCCATCCCACCCCATCTCACTAGAAAAGCTTGTCCTTAAGTTAGCACCTGGATATTGGAAATGTGGGTTTCTCAGGTGAGTTGTGATTCAGTTTGTGCAGAAGAAGATCAGCACCAAACAACCTTGACATTTGGACCAGGAGCTCAGGGGCCTCATTCCAGCACAAGGCAAAGAGCTCTCATATGGGAAAATACAGAAAATCTCCAAAAGGTGGGAACTGATGCTGGGGTTCCCAAAAGAATGATGCTTACAGGCAGATCCCTGGATAGGTCGAGCTCCTTCTTCTCAATGTGAAAAAAGGGAATAGAAGAGATTTTTTTAAAACAGATTTGCAAGATAGACTTTATTTAAGTAGTTCTGACAACTCTGACAACTTGAATATATATTGAATAAGTTCTTTAAAGCTATGGCACTGTAATAAAAAAATAATTAAAAAAAAAGCACTTGTGAAATGAAGGTGTCACTGCTCAGTCAAAGGCACATGCGTCCCCACCACCATTTACAAGGCTGGGCAAGTGCTGAGAGTGTTGATGCTCCCTGTGTGAAATCCTATCCCTGCAGTGCCACTCCTGTGTGTAATTAGAGACAGGTATCGGTTAAATCAGTGACCACCTTGCCAGGAGGTTTCTGTTCAAGGCTGGGGACTGACATCACCAGTCTGTTTGGAGTCCGTGAGGTGACATCACTCACAGGAAGCTGCAGGGGTAGGAAAACGATCCAGCTCAGTTCTTGCCCAGCAGAGACCTCCAATCATCTCTCCACTCCCTGAGTGACACTTTGGGCTCGGGTGTGAGATGGGAGGTTAATGCTGCCTCTGAGACTTGTTTGATGGATCTCCATCAAGCTCCAGAGCCAGTTCCTATAGATTGGGATCCTGCATCCCTGGCCTCCCTGCAGCCTGGCCCCCACACCGTGGATATTAATGCTTTTAATCACCAGTTTTAACCTGTGTCTTCAAGCTCCTTTGTTTTCCTTTCTCCTAACTTGGCATCCCAGCTGTGACACCCCCCTCCCCCCATTTTGTCACCTCTATGCTCCTATTCCAGCTTCCCAAAGTACCTTTTTTGAACTGTAAACAGGCCTTTAATTCCTTTCCTACTCATACATCTATAACCTCTCCACCTCACAGCCCTTTCTGTGCAAGAGCAGTTTTTAGTGGCCAAAAAAATCATCCAAAGGAGTAAGTCTCAGTTTAATATGTAGACCATGTATATTTTTATCACAGACACTTTTTTTTGGAGGGGGGGAGATTCAGCTTTTTCTATGCAATGGGAATTTGTTTTTTCGTGAAGCTTTGCTTTGACATTTGATCTTATTTCTGTTTTGGTGGAGTGAAGTGGGACCAAGTACAGCTGCACTATTTAAAAGCCACATTGAGCTTGATTTTGGTTTCGCTTGAGAGAGTAAAATTAGTAAACTTAACATGCTCTGCACAAAAGTGACACTAACTCAAATGAACTCACAGCAGAGTGAATAGTTATGAGGGGCAATTTGGAATTAATTGGGATCAGGCCAGTGCTGTAACAGGGGATGAATACCACGAAAAAGGGTCTTATTGCCAGCAGGCAGGATGACTAACCACACACAGCTCTTGCACGTCATCTGTTTATAGAGAGAGGACAAGTAATGGTACAATAAAAACATACAATAAAAACATAAAATAAAAACATAAAATAAAAACATAAACCAAAAGCAACAGTGCTTCGGTGCAGAGAAATGAGTGTGAGTGTCAATCCACTGGTTCCTGCCCTTTGGATGTGACTGAGCATCCCTTAATCCTCTATATATCGTGTGAATTTTGATGTGGTGTAGTTCAAATCAGCCAAAGTGCCACATGAATATCAAGGACTTGACAAGCTGCAAAGAATTGATGCCAATGGTTTCACACCTGTTTCACAACCCCCCCCCCCCGAAAACCAGCTGCCAAGCACAAAACTGCCACCCAGTATTTAACTCACCCCTGGAATCTTCCCCCTCCTGGCTTTCCCAACCTCTCAGGGTTGGCTGTAAACACCAGTCTGGAATACTGTGGAGAAATGGAGAAAATAGCCCAGGATGCAGTATAAACAGCACACTTCTTGTGTGGGCGATATATGTGCCTTTCCGTTCCTCTGGAGAGGAGTGACCTCTCCCAGCCCAGCAAGGTTCCACGTCTCCGAGCTCCGCAGCCAATTTTAACTCGTAGGGGCAGAGAAGATCCCACAGTGGAAGAGGCTCGTTCAGTTCACAGGGCGGCTTCGCTCCAAACACACGTTTCCTTTGAGGGGAACTGAAAATTTGGCGCATTAAAATAATTCCGGAGTTTAATTTCTCATAAATGGGGCTCCCAGTCTTTAAATGTGCTCAGTGTGTGTTCTCCTAAAGTTGGTCCCGCAGCTTATATAAAATATAATCGAGTATTTACATGTGAGCAGGAACCACTTTCAGGGCTCGTCACTGCAAGTGGTTGTCTGTGTCTGATTTACAGGTGACATAAATCTGAGGGACTTTGTAGCTGCTTTTACTTCCCCTCACACCATTTTATAGTTAATTTTCTTTCCATCCTTCGCCAAGGAAGACACATAAAGGAGAGAGCATCCTTTTTCACACCAAAACCCACTGGTTGCTCCCAAGCCTGGTGAGAGAAGCAGCCAATTTGCCAAATGAGAGGGGAAGAAGGATCTGCTTCTTTACTTGATTCGTAGCCCCACACACCCAGAAAACAGATCTCCCAGGAGACAGCATTTGGGATATTAAACAGATCACATATTTGATTTTAAGTGAAAGACCAAGAAGACAAGATCACAGAATTAGAGAAGTTACAGATGGAAAAGGTCTATGAGGTTATGCAATCCATCAGTCTGGACATTGCATAATTGCTCCCCACAGTATATTTTTAGTGCTTTATCCAGACAAATCATTAAGTGCTTTAAAATGGGCCAGATTCCTCAAGTGCAGTGCGTGCAAAATCACAGCTGATTTCACCAACCCTTGGAGCTTCAGTTCTAGTAAGACACCAGAAGGAAGTTTTGTGTGGTCAAAGAGAAAAAACCAGGCTCTTCCAGAAATAAATACAGGCCTGGTTCGGTATTCCTCACAGGAATCTTGCCTAAATTAACTGCATTAGATCCCTAAAATCTCATTTTCGGATTATACTGAATAATAATACATTATTACTTATTCAGATGTTCACTTAGTCCAAAGTAAAACATTGTTCATGTTCATGCGAACACGATTTGTTTTAAGCGGCTTCAAAGCCGGCTCAGTAAAGCGTAAAGAATGTTTATTTAAAATATAGTTGCTAAATTTAGCATGAGCTTGGTTAGCCTAAATCTTAGCGACATTTTTAGAGAGCACATTGCGAATCAGGAATGCATGGAGAAATAAATAAACTTTCCCACATTTTTGGAAATGGAGTAAGAATTTGCAAGTTATTCCTTGCACGGGCGATTTCTGCGGATTGGAAAATGTTATGGATAACACAAATTTCCCACTGAACAGACAGCTGAAAGCACACAATGCTAATAATTTTCACTGCAGTTTCATTTCAAATAATGCTCCCTCAAGGAGGAAACAAAAGCTGTCAGCTTTTGTTATAGAAATTACGCAGAGTACCAACATGTTTCAATATTTACTCAAGCTCTTTGCAAAGCACCAAGAAGTGCAATGGAACTGCCCTTGGCTATGAGCCACATCCAACCCCCTGCAAAGGAAATCTCAGGGTTGAATTAGGTCCTGTGCCTCTTCCTAGTACTTATAATAGTGGATTTTA